GGTCTTGCAGGATATGCTGCGGTTAACACCGTTTGAAACAGTGTGTAAGAACAACCCCCACTCACCTGGATTGATCTCCTTATTATATGGTTTTCTCCTCACTGGGGCACATTGACCACACCATGTTTATATGGATCATTGACAAGCAGAACTTGGCTCTTCCATTGATAGTGCTACTTAGTCCCAAATTTGGGATACTACTAAATCTAGTTCCAGAAGTGCTGTAGCAATACAAAGTGCTCTTTTTGATGGTATATGGTACTGAGCTGACGTGAGCACTTTGTCTCAGGACACAGTGGTAGATGTTTTTGAGTATGCTCAGAAAGAGGTACCTTTTTGCATATGTGATGGACATGTCCCATTTTACGAGATATTGGGTCTAAAGTTTACAGAATGCTTGTAAACCATGTACATGGCCACCCATGTACCCCTCAACCCCCAAGAAGCTTTCCTTAATGTCAAGCTGCCCAGACTTTCTACCTTGCAATTTGAAGGGGTTCTAAACCCTCCGTTTTTTTTGCATATATCTACTGCTAGCAAGCAGTAGATATATGCAAAAAATTATTTTTTTTTAAAACCCCGCTTTAACAGCGGTTTAAACTTACCTAGTTATGGCCGCGCACTCCCGCACGAGAATCCGAAACTACTCGGGCGGCCGCAAAGTATCTTTGGGTGGGCTCATGCGCAGTTCGGATTTTCGGCCGGGAGACGAGGAGAGACACAAGGTAAGTCTATGGACGTGTGCACCCGCATGCAGACACCATGGGATCGGAAGTGACTGCAGGGACAGAGGAGTCAGCGCTGGATCGGAAGTGCCTGCAAGCAGAGAGGAGTCAGCGCTGGATCGGAGAGCCGCCGCACCGCTGGAGGGACAGATGAAAACATCAGGAAAGAAGATCAGATTAAGAGACATCATTTAAGGTAAGTGCTATCATTAACATGGTGGGAGGGGAAAACAAATTTGACTTTAATGTCACTTTAAGAATTTAAGCTCATGTTCCATGTTCTCACAGCAACTAAATGCACTATTGTGAATGCATGGCTTACCAATACCCTCTCTATTGCCAAGGTTAAAATTAGGGTCCATTGGATGTTCACTAGAGGTGCACCGAAATTAATTTTTAAAACTGAAACAAAACCAAAAATAAAACAAATGTCAGACCGAAACCGAAAACAAAAATGCTTTTTATCTCTAACCTTTTCTATTTTTTAAAAATATTTTATTTTTATTTATTTTTATAAACTTTTTACATTTTTGTATATTTTATTTTTATTTATTTATTTTTATTAAATGTTTACATTTTTTTCCTTTACTGTTTGGGGCTTCGGGGAAATATTAGGGGTCTAAACAGACACCTGATATTTCCCTTTTAAAATAGAAAAAGAGATTGAGGACACAGAGTCCTCAATCTCTTTTTCTGCATCCCCTGTTATAAATGAACAAGAAGCCTCTACACCAGTGGTTCTCAACCTGTGTAACCCCAGGGCTCACATTTGTCCTCGGTCATTAAGTCGCGACCTAAGTTGCACTGCAATGGAACACACAGCAGTACATAAGCCAGGCAGCATATTTTGAATGGCTGCTCGGTGTGAGAACAGACAATGCTGCTCTAGGGGGAGGCTAGGCGGAGGCTGAGGAGCCTCTCACCTAGAAAAGAGGAAGGCATGCATCGACCCACTGAACACGGGGTCGCGACCCACTTTTGGGTCACGACCCACCAGTTGAGAACCAAGGCTCTATACTGAGTGTTCCTATTCATTCATAACTTCTGGAAATAATATGTTTACCATGTCCACAATCATGAATGAACAGGAAGTGATGTAGATCACTTCCCATTCATTCATATTCGAGGATATAGTAAACATACTCTGTCCTCAATTATTATCAGTGATCGCTGAGTTCTTGTACCCGCTCTCCATCCTGACTCGCTGTTACAGGAGGCTGAGCAGGGCAGTGGGGGAGGAGAGGCCGCACCGCTCTGCCTTCTGTGACAGTTTCTCACGCTGGACACTGCCTTGTGTCAGAGAGGACACAGGACACAGAGCAGCGCCCAGCAGGGAGGAGAGAAACTAGGAATGCACCGCAATTTCGGCTTTTTGCCAAAAATGCAATTTTCGGCCAAAATGTTTCGGCGGACAAAATGTTGGTGCATCCCTAATGTTCACTAATGAAAAACTAACAGTGTGTTTGTTTGATACAATGTCCAAGTCTAAGAGGCTATGGAAACCTTGGATGAAATCATTGAGGGATGTAGTCTGGTATGTTCCCTATTCCTGGGGCTCTGGGTAACCAGGAATGCCCTACCTTTGTTACTCTTATTTTCAGTCCTCTTTCCTCTACTATTTTCTCTAGTATCCATTCTCCCTCTCTCTCTCTCTCTTTCGCTCTACTATCAGTTTCTTCCACACTTTTTTTTCTCCAGATTCCCTGTGGCAGTGGTTTGCGCAGAAGGAGCTGCTGGTCCTACTGTCGGCACTCCACACTCTGTTATCTGTGTACTGTTTGACATGCTATGGTATCTTTCTCTAAACTTGTATTAGGAGGTCACATACAGACCCTTCTGTGTCTGTTATTCCTTCTGTTTATTATTGTTTATGTTGTTGGTACTTTGTTAACTTTTAATAAAATATTTTGAACATCAAAAAGAATTTGTGTATTTGCAATGTTGCACTTAAAACAACACTTTGGGCAAAATGATACTTTTCACATCACACTGGGTGTGTAAATGATTATTATAAAGCTGAGTGTTATATGCAGAGGGTGGCTGCAAAGTCTAAAAATCTTACCTTGCAGCACGCTGTCCTCTGCACGCAGCACTGGGCTTCCTGGCACTGAAGAAAGGGGGAGATGGCACCTGAGCTGTACAGCGCTCCGGTCACATCACCTGCCCCTTTTTACTATCGTACTATTCTAAAATGTCTTGCCTATTGTAAAAAAATTCTATTTTTTAAAAAGAATACAAGACATTCTGTGATTGGAGGAGGAAACATGATGTAACATCCCTGTCCCCTCCACACTAGAAGCTCAGCACTATGTGCAGGGGAGGGCACATAATGGCCAGAATTTACAAACAGGATTCCCCATCCCCCTTAAACTTCAATGGGATTTGCCAATAAGGTCAAGTTTGCAGAATTTCAAACAAAACCCATGTCAAATCAAAACTGATTCGATTTACATGATTCAGAAGAGATTCAATGTGTGACTCAGGTACATGACAGATAGCCATTAAAAAGAAAATGTATATATGTATATA